TTATGACAGTTAATTCACGTTGTATCCCAGCTGCAGCCCCCTCCTTGTTCCATCCCAATCCCATCCTCCCTCCTTATTCTCCTCCCATGCCCCTTCCCCAGTCCACTGATAAGGGAGGTCCTCCTTCCCTTCCATCTTACCCTAGCCTATCAGGTCTCATCAGGACTGTTACTTTTAACTCTGTCGTGAAAGACGTTTTTCCCTTGGTGGAGTGTAAGTGTATAAAATACATATTTGTTAGTGAATTCGTAAAATCCAATAAGCTCCAAAATGGATAACTGAAGTTAATTAAGATTCATAGACTTTGGGTCTGGTTAAATTCCTGGCATGATTTTCTTTGTTTTGTAAGTTCTCAAGCACACAATCCCTCCTCCCCAACAGCAAACAACCTTATATGTCAATGAAGATATTTTTTGGAAGATTACAAGTCAACAGATAAAAGGTCTATTTTGAAATGTTATGCTTTCAAAAGGGTGCTTTGGACTATTCAGTGTAGAACAGAGTTGAGAATGGCAGCCCTTGCATTCTGATATCACAGCCCAACTGTAACCTTTTGTGTGATATGTACATTTGGATAAGTCCTAGTTTCTGTCAGTGGTCCTTTCCTCTAAAAGTTAGAGATAGCATTACTCTACAACATCAAAATCATTTATGGTAAACATCACAATATTTGAACAATTCAACTCTAAACAAATTACAAGACATATTATGGACAAAGCCACTTTTAATTGTTAGTCTTACATTGGTCATATTTATCTATTCACAGCCAAGATACTTTTGAAAAAGAAATTTAAAACAAAGTATTTGCTCTCCATATGGACATTCAGGTTGGGACCCACATTTCCCATTCTTGCTGTACTCGGATTCTCTCTTGGTCAGTTGAATTCTTTGGCCCACAATTTGCAGAATTTAAGGGGTCTTTAAGCAGAAGTTGCAGTGACGTTACATCAGATGCTGTAGAGGGACTTTTCTTTTTTGGCCTTTGCTTGATTCTCTGAGCTTCTAAGTATTCTTCCAGAAGATTCTGCTTCCTCCTCAGAGAGGACACAGTTTCTGTAGGTCGTGATAGGTGCAACAATGTCCTTCCTGCACCATTCTTTGACTTACTATTTACTCACAGCATTGTTGAGAACTTCCTATGTACTGACCGAAACATATATAAGCAGATGTCTCTTCCTGATACCTTTGGAAAGATGTCCATGTTCAGTGCAGCTCTCCTCATTTACCCTGAGCAGACTGCCAGGGATTGCAGGATCTGACATGGAACACATAGGGTTTTTATAAGTCAGAACCATGAGATTATAGCCACATCCACATTTTTTTTTTTTTTTTTTTTTTTTTTTTTGTGGCAAAAAAAAAAAAAATTCTGTGTGAGAGTGTTGTATTCTCTGGAACAGAAGTTACAAACAGTTGTGAGCTGCCATGTGGGTGTTGGGAATTGAACCTAGGTCATCTGGAAGAGCAGACAAAGCTCTTATCCACTGAGATCTCTCCAGGCTCTTTCGAAATCACTTTTGCACATAGGGTGGAGAAGACATTCAGGGGAATGTTTAAGTATGAATAACTTGGTAATTTCTATTTATGCTGTGTTTCCTTTTGTCTCACTCAGGCTTTGATCACCTGGGTCTCATTATGCAACCCACTCTTTGAACTCTAGATGATGTGTCTGTCTTTGCCTGCCTTGATCTGGGATGCCAGGTGTGTATTACCACAAGAGGCTGCTGCTAGCTTTCCTAAGGAGACCATTGCAAACTGTCACTGAGTTATTATTACAGCTAAGAAGTCTTTCACTCATCATGGCTATGTTTGATGAAATGCAACTGTTTGTTTTGTTCTGGCCTAATTCAAGTTCAGCCTCTCAATGCAGTGGCATAAGACTTTGCTTGTTTTGACTGCAGCTTCCGGCTTTTAAGGTTCAGTTGACTCAGGGCCTGTCATTTTATTAAGAGTAACTGATTCATCCAGTTAGGCACTCTGAGGCCTCTGATGAACAGCTTAGCTTCTTGTGTTCTTAGAAAGGACTTCAGTGAGGAGAGGTACTCTCAGCAAACCCCTGTACAAGCCCACAGGCAAAAGGAGCATGCTAATGAACGCATTCCAAGCTATTAAAATAATAAAGTGTTAGAGACATAACTTCATTGACTTTTTTTTTTTTTTTTTGGCATGGGTTGGATGATTATTTTAAGCACCCAGATAATAACTAAAAATTACTGTAATAAACTGTATTAATCAAACTGACTGAATGTTTCAACATGGGGTGATTGGTCTATGACTCACCAATCTTGCCACTGGCTAGCTGGCAGAAGAAAAGTAGCTATTTGAAGCAGGGATTATCGAAAAAGAGTTTGTCGTGGTATTAGGTACTGGAAAAGACGGCAAAGAGGAGAGGTGGAGGGAGAGAGACAGGGAAGGAAGGATTCAGGGAGGAAAACATCTATCATGGCTTAAATTTTATTTTTCACATGTCAGTCCTTAGATATGCCTTAGGTATGTCTAAATTTTCAACCTGGTACCTGTGAGAATGACCTTATTTGGAAAGAAGAATTTGCAGATGTAATCAAATTGATAGAAAATAATAATAATTTAGACTAGAGACCCTAATCTAGTAAGTGATGTCCAGAGAAGAAGGAGGTTCATGGACAGAAGAGAAACACATGCCTTTGGATAATAACCATTAAGTTTTTTTTTAAAGATTTTCATATTTTATGTATATGAGTGCCCTATCTCATGTACATGCCAGAAGAGAGCATCATATCGCATTATGTAGATGGTTGTGAGTCACCATGTGATTGCCCAGAATTGAACTCATGATCTCTAGAAGAGCAGACAGTGCTCTTAATTGCTGAGCCACCTGTCCAGCCCTGACTTATGGATAACAATCAGGTGAAGGATATAGGAGAAAATGGTTGAAGAAGGCTTCAAGCCCTGAACATCCAAATACTGCAGTCACCAGAAATTGAGGAGTGGTATGGAATTAATTGCCTCTCTCCCAAAAATCTCTAAGGAAACTCACATCATACCAAAATTTTAATTTCAGATCTCTGTTCTTCAGAAACTGAGGAAAGTAAATTTCTATTATTTTTAAGGATCTTGGTCTGTGGAACATTGTTACATCGCAGGAAACTAACACAGCTAGGGTTCAGCTTCACAGAGTTTCTGTCCCCATCATCAAAGATGATGGGACATATTTCAGCTTCAATGAGGAACCTTCTGTCTTTCCCTGTAAGAGAAAGAAACCTTTATCAATTCAGAAATAACTAGAACCCCCTCTATCAAGATTTACTGCAGACACTAAGCAATACTTTTTTTGGGAGGGAGAGGATATTGTTTTTCAAGGCAGTGTTTTTCTGTGTAGTCTTGGCTGTCTTGGACTTGCTTTGTAGACCAGGATGGCCTTGAACTCACAGAGACATGCTGACATTACAGGCGTGTGCCACCGTGCCTAGCCCTAAGCAATATTTTTAATTAAGAGGCATATACAGTGATACTAGGAAATACACTTCCCGTGTATGTGCTTTCTTGAGAAACTTTGCCAGCCTGAATTCTTTGCAGTGTCTCTTAGAGGGGAAGCTAGACTTTTGACAATTCTCTCATTACACTTTTAGTGTTTTCTGAGTCCTACTTACTTTGATGAGCACAGTGCTGCGAGCATTTGTCACTACTCTGCTCCACCTCGTAGAACCATAGCTTTCCTGAGGCTCACTGCTAGTTGGTCTTTACTGTAGACAGTCACTGCTCATCCTTTTCAGCTACCTGGCAGCTTCCTGCTATGGTTAGAGAGCCCCAGTGGATAGCATGGCAAGCCATATCGCTTGTTGAGATCAGCTGGTAGGACCTCCCCTATCAATGGACTTAGAGAGGGACAGGGAAGAGATGAGGGAGGAAGGGTGAGATTGGGAGGGAATGAGAGTAGGGCATACAGCTGTGATACAAAGTAAATAAACTGTAATTAATATAAAAAATAAAACTTTAATTAAAAAAAGGAAAATGCTCCACTGGACATTTCATGGTTTTTTCTGATCTGCCCACTGTATTCCATGTTCCCAACTGTGCTGCTAAGAAATCCCCAAGAATATAAGCAACTCTTTTATCCTTTCCACTTCTTACTTCACTGCAGAGACCTGCGGTCTTTTCTGTCACTTGTCACACTTCAACAGTAACCTAATAAGGGTCAGCACACTTCCACCAGGTAATTGTAGGCATCTGTGCCCCTCACCGGATGCAGCAGTTTCCTGATTAACTTTTGGAGTTGTTAGTGATGAAGGCAGAAGAGTGAATGAAAACAGATTAACCCCATCTTATGTTTTGCTTTTGTTTTTCAAGATTTGTTTTTAATGTGTGTGTGTGTGTGTGTGTGTGTGTGTGTGTGTGTGTAAGCCATATGTGTGTAGGTGTCCCTAGAAGTGAGAAGAGGATGCTGCATCCTCTGGAGCTGGAGTTACAGGTGGTTAAGTCTGGGAACTGAATTCTCCATCTCTGGAAAAGGAGTGAGTTCACTTAACTGCTGAGCTTCCACTCCAGCCCTATTGCTTCTTATCATTGATAGCGGCATTTTCAGAGTACCAATACAGATGAAGATACTGAAAATAACGGAACAATAAACCCTCCACGATTTTGAAAATTTAAGTTAGACTTTCCTGATTTTTGTTTTCAATTCTGAAGCTCATTCACTCAGGCATTCTGGAAATGAAGCGCTTGCTTCTCTCTCCACCTCCCTGGACTTTGAAACTTCAAAAGATGTATTTCCTTTGCCCTCTTCGTAGTGCTGTTATGTAATCAGACATTGATTGCCCTCACCCCATCAACTGGCAGCAACAAAGTACAATTTCATATGTCACAGGGAAAAATATGCAAGAACTTGTTGTGGCATCCTACAGAGTGATGGTGGGGGAGGGTGGAGAGATTCTATGAAGAGGAACATTTAACGGCAAAAAGCCTCGTAACGTCGCCCCCACGCGGAGGCAGGAGGCCGTTACCATCACTGGCAGAGGGCAGGGACAGCAAGTGTCCCTGCTGGCTCTTTCCTGACAGCATGAAGATTTGTGCTGTGGAGTCAGGGTAAATATCAGGGTCAGACGGGAGAGTGGATGTGCCAGGGTCGGGGAAATGGATGCAGAGAAAGATGTATGAAGTTAGGGGCCGTCATCAGATTCAGGGACAACTGTTAGTTCACTTTTCTTAGCAAGAATCCACTGGCGATCCCTCCTGTCCTTAAAAAAGAAGTCGTCCTGTGTCTTTGATTTCTGTTGAGCCACGGAGGAATTTTGAAGCCATTTCAAAGTCTGACTTTTCTGTAGTCAAATTAAAAATTTCAGTGTTTTATTGTGTAAGTGTGCCCTTATATGACCATCGCAATTAGATCTGGAGTTATTAGCTCTTCTGAACTTCCTGTGATTGACTTCCAGAATCGAAGATGTGAAGCTGTATTGACCAAACACCGATGTATGTAGTTAACACTGTTGGAATTTATAGACATCTTTTGAAGCACGTGAAGATGGAAGTTCTTCATCAAAACGGGGGCTGCCAACAATCGATTACTGGATTTATTAAGAAGTACACTTTTAGTTTAGTGTGAAGGAAATGCTAAGATTCTGCAGTTCAGTTTCACCCCAGTGCAGATTACAGTGTTAGTAGTGACATGGAATAGTGAAGGATTAAGAGGACAATGGTAGACAGGTTTTAAGATTGTGATAGTGTAGACAATACAAGGCTATATTTACCTCTTTGTTTCAATTGTTGTTTCCATCTTCTAGGACAAGGAAAGCTAACACCATGACCCTGACACTTTAGGAAAAAACAAACAAATATGTCATCCAGATCATAAAACATCAGAAGAAAGGACAAGGTATTTTTCCACTCATATGTAGTATGGGTAGAATGATTGTCAAGTTCTCAACAAAGTATTAGTATAGCTATCAAGAATAAGATAGAAAATAAGGGAGTCCATAAGACATATTTCCCTGAACACATTTTCAGCAATGGTGTCCTTCCTTGGACTCAACAAAGATGACTACAGTTTGGATTCATGACAGTATGGGAGTGGAATGTGTGACCTTCTATTCTTTTGGACATTGGAATTGCAGATCATACAATACAGATACATTGAGTGACTTAACTGTATGACATTTTCAGGCTCATGTATATGCCTTTTAGTAAGGATGAAGTTAATTCCTTTTTCCTTATGTTAAGGAGGACCAGGCCTCTAGCACTTAATTCTCTTATAGACTCTACTGTCTTTTCCTCACTGTGGCACCATGAAGAAAAAAAAAAGGTGTCGAACAATTTTGAAATTAACTTTCAATCGAATTACACATTTTTAATGGAAATATCTGATAAGGTTAACCAAATTTTTAGGCACTGCAAAAGTTAATAAAAATTTTGATATTAAACGTTTATGGTTATGCATATTATACTATATGAACACTATACCAAGAGTCTTAGAAAATTATGTATTTGTTTTTTTCAAAGTAAAACCATAGAGATTCACTTTTTTGGGGGAGGGGGTAGGAGAGTACAGAGACTCTGGTGGATTTCCCAATCCTGAGGTTTTCCAAACACTGTATCTTAATAAACATTAAGCTACAGATAGGAAGCAAAAGTCACAGAAAGTATATTCATGCCCTTGGCTTGCATGTGCCATAGCAATATTTTTAATTAAGAGGCATATACAGTGATACTAGGAAATACACTTCTCGTGTATGTGCTTTTTTGAGAAACTTTGCCAGCCTGAATTCTTTGCATTGTCTCTTAGAGGGGAAGCTAGACTTTTGACAATTCTCTCATTACACTTTCAGTGTTTTCTGAGTCCTACTTACTTTGATGAGCAAAGTGCTGTGAGCATTTGTCACTACTCTGCTCCACCTCATAGAACCATAGCTTTCCTGAGGCTCACTATAAGATATGTCCTACTTACCTTAAGAATGAAATAGTCTTGGGCGATCAGTATAGAAACTCAAGAATCTGGAATGTAATCTGCTTAAGAACTTAACTGATAAGGAGGAAGAAAGGTGTGTTCTACTTAGTCATGTTAATATTTAGATAGGAATCAAAAAACTAAGAGATGGTGGTGAAATTTGAGTCTGCTGGAGTGAAAAAATACCATTTCAGGTCAGGGCTGATTGGGACTGACTTGAAGATGCAGAATGTGCCCAGAGACAGTTGTGATGTGTCATCTGTCCTCTCCACCTTCCTTCTTGACATGGATAAGGCAGACCTTTCAACTGTCAAACCAAAAACATTTGACTTCTAATGTATTTTATTATGCTAATCACTCTAATGTTGCCAGGAGTAAAAGGCTACACGTACTATATCTACCTGTGATTTTTTTTTTTTCGTCAAGACAAGTTTTCTCTATGTAGCCTTGGGTCCCTTTGTAGACCAGGTTGGCCTCAAACTCCCAGAGATCCACCTGCTTCTGCCCAGCCTTCTACCTGTGATTTTAAAACTGATTGTTCTTTGAATGACACCAACAAAGCTCTTTCACAATGCCATTACAGAAACCCATACTATCAATTTTATAGAAATGAACATTTTTGTATTCATTATGTAAATAGATAGTATATCTTATTCTCGTGTTTTTAGTTTGTTACATCCACAGTAGAACTATGTTTACTGGGAAAGTGAAAAAGTGGTAATGATGTTTATCAATTAATATATGAGATTACATGATAGGAATTATTAAAATAAGGATAGAGGGGCTCTGTAAAGCTGAATTAATGAATTGCTCTTTCAAAAATGAAAGTTTTTTTTTTTAAACTATGTACAACGGATTTAAAGTCATTACTGGTGGGTGACAGTGGGAAAGATGAGTATTTCTTCAGTTAAGCTCCTTTTAATATTATCCTAAGAACCCATGGGGTGTTATCCTATTTAAAAGAAACAATATGGGGGAGGACTAGAAAGCCTATTAAAATGCAGTAATATTAAACAATCTTTGTACCAATTCGTGGACTGATCATAACTGAGTAGAGAGGGCCTTTCCTTCATTAATTATATATTTGCTTTTCTATACAATGACTTTTGACAATAATACAAGCACAAAGATAAAAGAAACACAATTTCTAATTTCTTTCTTAGAGAAATAACCGATTCTAAAGTGGCTGGTCATTTGTGTCTGCATAATCCCAACTCTAAAATCTTGACTAAGTTCTGGAGTAGATAAATAAATAGTTCCCCCCTTCATTGAGAATAAGAAGTTAAGTGGTGGGACACAGTGAAAAAGGAACTGTACCCTCTCTCTCACAATGAGATAGATGATGACTGTCAGCAACATAATCAGTTATGAAGGAATCTGTTTTGCTTACATTCCCATTTATATGAAGGAAGAGCAACAGATGTTTGCAACAGAAGATGTTAGGAATTCCCAAGTCATGGCACATGCAAGCCAAGGGCAACTGTCAAGTTGTTCAGTTCATGTCTCTTGTAGTGACAGGGTGCATCATTGTGATTCTATTTGTACCATATAGTGACTCTTTTACTGTTGTTAGTTAATTCTGAATTGACAGGTGCTTGGCATACCTTAGATCACCCAAGTTCCCCCTCCCAAGTCACTGCACTACTGACTTCAGTGAAGACATTTGTTTGCTTTATTGGTAGCTTCCAGCCATGGCTTGGTTCCAGCTGATGCTGCTTCTCTTTGCTCTGCTGCTGCAGTCGATGCCCATAGAAGGAAAGGTAAGTTGAAAGCGGGAACATCTTGTCAGAGTAGTCTGCCAGCTTTGGAAAACGGCGGGCTACTGTGAGAACAGAAGAATCCAGAGCCCTTCACAGAGAAACAGAGATGGGGAACTAAGGCTACTCGCTCTATCACTCATGGCTGTGATAACCACTAGTTACATGTACCTGTGGGCACGTGAGAAGGCAAAATGTATTCCAAGTAGGAGGATAACAGGCATCAAAGATGTAGCACAGGTTCCACAAAATCAAGCCTCACAATTATTCTATGTTAAATAAGCAATGAGATAAAAGTATTTTGTGTAATTGGTCCAATAATATATTAAGTTCAGAGCAATGTTGTTAAGAATTACCAACGACTTGCTGACTGCACACAGTAGAAATGTATTTTCTCTGGCGGTGGAGGTTAGATGTCTGAAATCAAGGTCTGTCTTGGAGATTCTATTCCCTTTACCTTATAGCGACTTGTACTAATTATTGTCCTTTGACAGGTGGCTGTGTCACTCCATCCTCCTCATGACACAGTTTACTCTCTATGTTTCTCATGAAATCACTTGGCATAAGATTCAGATTGCACTTGGATAAGTTAGAATAATTTTGTGTCAAGATTCTCAACTTGATTACTTCTGTAATGACATTTTCTTCCCCAATAAAAATCATATTTACCGATCCTTTGAATTAGGGTATGGAAATATCTGGGAGGGGGGCGGGCAATCACTCAACTTATTATAAATAAATATATTGCTGAAGTTAACTTTTTACATTTTAATATATCTATATCCAATTACTGTCACATTTCACCCCAAGTTATATTTTAAGAGTCTCATGCTCTACCGACTGAACTAGCCAGGTGGTGACCCCAAATTATATTTTAAAATGATAACATGTTATATAGGTTTAAAGACCTAATTAATTATGGGTCTTCTGCCCAAAGTTTTTTCTACATTTTTTATTTCATATCATTGACACAGATTTAAAAATATATAATTTCAAACTTGTGTTTTCTTCCTCTATCACTATATTTTTCTCTTGCAGTTACTGCTTACAAATAATTGGACTGCTTTATAAATGGAAAAAAATCTGATTCTAAAGTCATTGTACTGTGTTTATCAATGAGCATGGAATTAGCGTGTAGAACTTTATTACTGTGTGAAATCTTAAATTCACACCCATGATTTCACGTCTTTATGCTTTAATGATCCCAGAACAGTGTTGATCAACCTCGTCAGTGTGCGTAGGGCTCACACATGGAGTTTACTTCCTGGTCGGCCAGCCTGTGGGTATGAGGTGCTGTCTCTTCTCACACTCTGCTCTGACTTTCAGCCTTTGACGCTCGTTAGTACTCCAGTCTTTGATAGTTGTTCAGACCTCATTTGACATTCATGACTGTAATCAGTCTTTAAAATAGTCAAATTCTTAGGCTGGCGAGGATTTTCTTCTTACCCTCACAGAGCTTTATTATATCATTTTCCCATCATTTCTCCCTTGGTTGATTCACCCTTCCCCTGCCCCACCTTCACAACTCTCTCTACACTTTCTTGTCCAATTCTTGGCTTTCATTCATGAAATGACAAAGTGAGATGTCATTGGGGTTTTGGCACCACTAAATGCTTAATGATTACCTCACTAAGAATAACTTTCTGTGCTTCTAAGCAGCCCTATGGACACTGTCCATCTTTTAAAACCCCAGTCCTTATCCTCAATAAATTCATCTCTCCTCATATAGATTGTATTTATGTATAAGGAACCTATATTTTTCAATGTGATATGAACTCTGTAAGGATAGCTCCTGTTTTTTGCTTATTTTAGATTTGATACCCATTTTACTTTCTGATCTCTCCATAAAGTTCTATTAATGCTCTTCTAAAATTAAATAATTACATTTGTAAGTAAAAATTTTATGTATGAAACACAATGATATATGAATCAGAAGATAAATTTTTTTTCTAAGAAAGAAAATTTTTGTGTTTTGAATTTACTTGAAGTGATATTTTGAGGATAATAGGAGAAACATGGCAATGTCTGATATTTCAGGAATTGGTCCTTGCTGATGCTTGACTTGTGAATCCACTGTACCTTAAGTATATGCAACACTGCTTTCTCAAAGTCATCCATCACCTTTGGTTTTGCCTCTTCTGTGTAAATCCCTGAAGCTTGAGGGCAGGGCCTTGTTGAAGACACCTCACTTAGGACTGAGTGCTCCAAAGTCTGTCACTCTCTGCACAGTGTCCAGTTGTAATTCTCTCTGTTAATTCCCATCTACCGAAAGAAAAGGCTTCTTTGGTAATGTCTGAATGATGCACTGATCTGTGAGTTTAGCAATATGTCATCAGGAGTTATTTTATTGCTATATTTGTTTAGTAGAATAATCGTAGGTTTTCCTCTAGATCATAGGGCCTATATGGTCTCAGGTTCTTCCCCACTTTAGTCATATCAGGCATGGATTCTGTCTCATGGAGTAGGCTTTAAATACAATAAAAAGGTGTCTGTTACTTCCATAATATTGATGCCATCCATACCGCAGAAATGTATCATGTAGGCAGATCACTGTTGTAAGTAGAAAGGTTTGTATCTGGCCAATATTGATTGCCTTTCTTCTTGGGTCATGTGCAGCACACCTCTCAGGCCCACCAGAGGATTTCATAAAAACAAAAACATATTGAAAGATGAATCAACATCAAAATCTAGCCTATGGCCTCAGAGGAATTTTTTTCTCATAATGAATTATCCATCATTTCCAGTCTACTCAATCCTATTAAAATTAAGTGTTGACTTAGATTTATTGGCATTCTAAGAAGCTAATATTTTCTTTTTCTATTTGTGTGATATTAAGTGATAAATAGTTTTAAAGTTATTTTTTTTTGTTGAAATAACTTCTTAACTGTCTGAGAGCTTCAGAAAATGTTAAAAGTTATTTTCCTTCAGGATCCCGAGTTTACGTCTTTGACAACTAACCATCCATACATTCAAAGTGAGATTGTAAGTAAACACAATGAACTGAGGAAAGCAGTTAAACCTTCTGCCAAAAACATGCTAAAAATGGTAAGTGACTGTGATGGAAATGGTGTAAGCCTGCTGTGGAATTGAGGTGCCAGCTGTGGGGGCAGGATATCGACAGAGAGGGAGAAGCAGTTGGTGATGGCTTCACATTGTAGTTTAAAATGTTCCTGTTTTGATTTTGCTATTTTATTTAAGTTTTTATGTGAGAAAGACTATTATTTTTGCTTTTGACATGGTTAAATTACTTTTCAGGTTTGGGGGCCTAACAAGTTAGGAAGAATTAGAATTAGTATGGGAGGGTGGTCATGTACACATGTGTATAAGTGCCTGTGGAGACCAGAGGCATCAGATTTCCCCATAGAACTTGTTATGGACAGCTGTAAGTCAAATGACAGGGGTGCTGGGAACCAAACATGGGACTTCTACAAAAGAAAAGTAGGTTCTCTCCACCACAGAGCCATCTCTGTTCTCAAAGAGATCCTACACTCTTAGTGCACAGCACTACCCAGGACATGGTTAATGGTATTTTAGCCTATTCTGCCTGAATCTCCCACATGAAAGCATCAGGCAACAAAGGACTTTGGGATAACTCAATCAGCTTAAAATATTAAGATTTTAAGAATGCTTCACGCATACCAGTATATAGCATCATTCACACACATATTCTAGATGTGGTTTTAGAGTTAGGTATTTTGCTCTGATACACATCCTTAACAGTCTTATCTTCATGTGGAAACTGGCACACACTGGAAATAAAACAAGCAAAAGAGGCTTGCTTTTATCTTTTATTATTTTTATTAATTTTGATGTCAGTGATAATTAGAAAATAACTTTACAGAATTTTTTTAAATTTTTTATTTAACTTTTATTAATTACACTTTATTCATTTTGTATCCCCCCATAAGCCTCTCCCTCCTCCCCTCCCGGTCTCCCCTCCCCCCCTTCCTGCATGCATGCCCCTCCCCAGAATTTTTATAGTCTTGCTAACCAATCGAATTATATGCTTTCATTATGGTTGGATAATCATAATTTTCTTTTCTTTTTGATATTTAGGAATGGAGTGTAGCAGCAACAACAAATGCTCAAAAATGGGCTAATAATTGTATTTTAGAGCACAGTAAACCAGAAGACCGGAAAATCAGTAAGTACTTTACATATGGCTGCTGAATGAAAGAATAAATTTAATACTAATAGTCCTTTGTAGAATATTGCATTAAGACTTGCACATAAATGCTCGTCATGCTATCTTCCAAAATCATTTATTCGTGTATTCAGATAAAATTATTATAATTTGGTTCATGTTAATTTAGGTTTTACAAATGTTTCATGCAAGGTATCATTTGTTCTCTCTAAGCACATAAGCAAAGCAGATCATGTGTCATCCTTTTAAAAAGAATTCTCAAATTAGAAAAACAACATTTAACTTTCCCCTGGCAAGGCTACCTTGCCGGGCTACCAGGGAAGAGGATGCAACTTGATAAGCTGGGGTGGGTGGGTGGATGGGTTGGGGCTCCCCTTCACTGTGGAGTAGGGGAGGGGGAAGTAGTAAATAGGGAGGGAGGGTGGAATCTGGAGGAGAGAAAGGAGGGGACTATGACTGGGATGTAAAATGAATAAATAAAAATTAAGATTAAAAACAAACAACCACCACCAAACCCCCAAAACAAACAAACAAAAAAAGTAAAACAACATTTAGGAGGAAAAAGGCAGTCCAGGGAGCACAATGACATCATGTCATACTAGAGTTATTCTCCTCAAGCTTTATCAAATCTAATCTTTTGCTCTTTCATTTTGATATTGCACAGTTGTTCAGCTTTTTTTTCCTCTATATTTATGGGATATATTTGTGTGCAGTTGCTTAATTTTGCTGCAAAATGCTTCATGTTTTGATAGCACATTCAAAATATGTGAATATTTTGAGAATGCTTATTTTTAAATTAAGTAGTGAAGTAGTTTTCTTCTCTCTTTCCTTAGTTCATTAATTAATCAATTAATTAATTAATTAATTTACTTTTGGGTAGACAGGATCTCACTTTGTAACTCTTGACTGTGTTAGAACTGGCCATGTATACCAGTGGGTCATTAACTTGCTGTGGTTCTCTTGTCTCTGATTCTTAATTCTGGGAGTAATGGTGTGCATTACCAAGCCCAACACAAGTATTGATTTTAAATTATGGGTCTGATGGATTTACAGATTTGTGTAATAGACTACACAGAACAAGAGGACACATTTTATGGAGAAGTACAGAGCCATGAGGGAGGAAAGCTGGATGATCAGTTCTCACCTAGAATATTTACTTATATCCTGGAGCATGTTGCACACAGAGAAGCCCTTTCTTAAGGTGGTTAGTCTTCCCTCTGTGGTCTCAGCTGATCTGTTATTTTTATCATTGCTGCTGCAATAATAAAAACAGTGAAGTTTTTAATAATAAAATAATTTTTAATAATAAAATAATAATAAAAACAGTAGGTTGAAGACTGAAACAGTCTTGGGGATCAAGTGTACTATTATATCATTCCTTTTCTTCACTATAATGGATGTATGCTCACATGTTTGATATGAATTGTATGCAGTATACACATGGTACTTCAAGTTTACACAGATTAAATGAGAATGTGGCTACCATGAAGCTTGTCCTGGCTATGTCTGGTTCTCCAAGGAAGAGGATTAAGTCTGTGAAATCATCTTTCCTGCTGACAGACCATTTTTTAAAAATGGTCTCAAATGCCTTTGTCATATAAAAAATACCACAGACTTCTCTTTAGGGTCTTTGTGAGTGTGTGTGTGTGAGTGTGTGTGTGTGTGTGTGTGTGTGTGTGTGTGAAAACTAGTGAATGTGACAGAGGAGAAAATGCCTAAGTGTTAGTCAATGTCTTTACTAAGCCTGCATCACAAAGCTGATTGCTCAGATGGCATAGAGACGTGAAGAATTTAGTGTCTGGATGATTGCAGTTTTGACAATGTAAATAGAAACAGCTTTTAAAAGAATGGGGTGTTAAAATCTATTCAAATATTTGCATGCTTAGTCCAGCTTGGTTCTGATTAGTCTTTTCATCTGATTAGTTAACTAACCAACAAACTAACCAACTAACTAACCAACCAACTAACTAACTAAACTAACTATTAACCTAAGCAGGCACCCTACTCCCAAGTCAACCAAGAGTTAAACACTGTAGGCCCTATGGCTGAAGTACAGTGTTTTGCATTTGTGTTGTTGATTTATTTTGTTCCTGAAAGTTTTATTGTTTTCTTCATAAATTCATTCCTTCCCAGATGTAGGATGTGGTGAGAATCTCTTTATGACAAGTGATCCTACTTTGTGGTCAGTCGTAATTCAAAGCTGGTTCGATGAAAGTAAATCTTTTATTTACGGTACAGGAGCTAAAGGTAACGCAGCTGTTGGACATTACACTCAGGTGAGTAGAGCAGATGGAGATACAAACATTGTGCTATAATGACCAAGGCTTCTCCAGTACATGGCCCATTCCTATGTTCAGTTTGAGGGGAAAGGCTGAGTAGGTATTACATACCTCTGTCATTTGATTGATACCTTAAGATATATTAATTTATGTCCATATCTGGAGAATAATTGATAGGAAAGCATACAGTATATCCTTCCATTACAAATGGATAAAAGAGTGAACCCACATTGCATGTCTAGTATATTAAAAGGTATTAAAAATAAATTTTTACTACTCTGATTCCCAAAATTAAATATATTATAAGGCATATCTCATAGACTGTAGCACCCACATATTTATGTGCTATATATGTTAATATTTATTTTTGAGTATCTTACCAGTTTTATAATGAATATCCATGCATTTATCTCCCATTGGACATGTAGCTTGTTTGGTATTCATCTTTCAAAGTTGGATGTGGAGTTGCTTTCTGTCCCAACCAAGAAATGTTAAAGTACTTCTATGTTTGCCATTACTGTCCTGCGTAAGTATGCACTCCAGAATGCGATATGTGTAATTTTTCTTGTAATATAATATGTGAAATTTCTTATGTAAAGCAAATTAGAATCACAACTATACATCCACCAAGGGAAGGATGAATGTCAGTGTTTATCCTGTTAAGACCCAGACAACTTTAATTTGCCAGAGAAAAGAGCAGTTCCACAGTTCTCCATATAAAGATCTAAGATCTTCATCATTTAGGATATGATGTTCTTGCTTTCAATTATCCTTCCCTAGGCTCACATTCATTCAAGGATGATTTTGTGCTGTGGATTTTTCTAAGATTTAATGTTATCTATTTTACTAATTTCACATTACAGGACTGCCCAAGTTTGATGCTAGAACAAATGGTTTAAGCTGGTGGCTTGCAAATGGGGATGACAAACCATTTTTTTTAAAGTTTTGTTACTTCACTTTACATCCTGAACATAGTTCCCTACCTCCTCTCCTTCCAGTCACACCCTCCCACCATCTTTCCCCTTTCCCCATCCTCTCCTTCTCAGGAAAGAGAACCCTCTCCCTCCATACCAATCCTCTCAAGCACATCAAGTCACATCCAGACTGAGGATGCTGTGGGGATGACATACCTTGATTTCAACTTTTTTCTTTATTTTTTTTTTGAAATTCAAATATTTCAACTACTCATTATCTACAAAAGAGAAAAAAGTACATTGTTACCCAAAACTCTGCTCTTCTAAGTATAACTAAATATAACCATAACATAGTTTTGAGTTTTAATTATGTTCAATTTTTGAAAGTGGTGCGGAACCATACTTCCTTTCAGATTTGTTTAGAGATGGTTACTCAGGTGAGATAAAACTGCAATAGGAGGGGTTTTAACTCAGAATTTGTTTTTCTACACATACATCTTTTTAGGGTTTACTAGAGAGAATTCACTGACCATGGATTTAAGTATCTAAATCTATTGCTTGATTGTAAAATCTATTGCTTGATCACATAGGTAGGCCCAGGAAACATTATCTGGAATGAATAATGGGAGGATGCTGGGAAATGGACCTACACAAAATTTTTAGGAACCCCATGGTATCTCTAGAGCTCACTCTCACTCAATACTCTGAGATTCAGCTGCATTGCCTTTGGCTCTTGCTCCACGTGCACAATTAAGATTCAATTCCCATGTATGTTCATGTTCATTAACTGAGCTGTGTGGTAAAGAACATCATGAGTTACAAACTAAGCCTTGTAAGATATTATAGATTGAATGTTGGCATAGGTCAAATTCTCACACATGATCTCTCTTTTTAATTAATTTATTTTTTATAAATTACAGTTTATTCACTTTGTATCCCAACTGCAACTTCCTCCTTTATCCCCTCCCAATTCCATCCTCCCTTCGTTATCTCCTCCCATCCCCCTCTCCTTCATGGGGAATCAGCCTTACCAGGTCACAGGGGAAGAGGATGCAGCCAGTTCTGATGAGAGCTGATAGGGTAGGGTCAGATATTAGAGGAGGAGGACCTCCCCTATCAGTGGAGTAAGGGAGGGGTTGGGGGTAAAAGAAGGAAGGAAGGTGGGACTGGGAGGAGATGAGGGAGAATACTATAGCCTGGATACAAAGTGAGTAAATTGTAATAAATCATAAATCAAAAAAAAAGAGAGAGAGAAAAAGAAAATAAAATTCAATTTCAGAGAAAAAAGAGCATGCTACTACGCACACATAAGCAATACAATCTCACCCTCCACAATAAGAAACGAACACTGAAATTCTATTATCTATTTTAAAGCATCTGTTGTATAGCTCAGCTTTCAAACAGTATTTAGTAATGAACAGTTTTCCATTGCCATTCCCATTTACGAGATATTCTTTCCTGGTGTGATGTGTTTCCTTAACCCACACCTTGCAGGATCTTGTCTTAGTATTAGTTCATCCATCTGGCAGCAAAAGGGAAAAGTATAGCTTGTTACCACAATTTCCTTACTCAGTTTGATGACTTACAGCCACAAAGATAGTTTGATGATGGATCATGGTTATCGTCTATACACAGCTAGGAAGAAACCTCAAGTTGAAAGATTTCCTATATCATATTTACCTGTGTCCACGACTGTTTGGCATTTTCTTGATTGCTAATTGATGTAGGAGGGTCTGCCCCACTGCTGGCTATGCCAACTTTGGGCAGTTAGATTCTGGGCTACAAAGACAAAGTAGCCAAATGAGCCTGGGGGGCAAACAGTATGTAGCAGTTCTCCAGTCTCTGCCTCAGTTCCTACCTTGGGGTTCCTGCTTTGGCTCCCTTCAATGATAGGCTGTAACCCGGGAGCTGTAACAAACCCTTTCCTCTCCCAAATTGCTTTTAGTCAATGCTATATTTCGGCAACAGACAGCAAACTAGAACACAGGGTTCATGTGTGATGTGTGTTCTTAATGGGGAGTATTATCTCAGTTGCACTATGGGAATCTAATTTTTAGTTTTGTTTATAAAAACTGAAAACTGCATAACTGTGTATGTATGTTAACTCATGCTTCTGTGCAGAAAACAAACAGCAAAGGGAAACATAATTGTATGTTTCAAATTTCAGGGGTAACAACGTGATGAAAAAGGCCACCCCTTACATACAAGGGGAACCTTGTGCTAGTTGTCCCAATAACTGTGAAAATGGACTATGCAGTAAGTATGACATGACCCACTGGTTGTTTATCATATAGATAGTATTTTATTTTATTCTATGAACTGTAAAATTGACTACATGATATATTCTTGGAAGAGTAAACCTCTACTCAAGAAAATGTTAAACTATTTTATATAGTTCAGCAATTTAAATTTATTTGCAATGAAAATAATTATATGTATGTTACATAATGGGACATTTACCTTACTCTCGGTGACTGTGATGTGCTGAGACTATTCACTGAGTTCTTCATGCATAAATCATAAGGTGATATCAATAGGACCAAAGTGATAGTTAAAAAAAAAAAACAAAAACAAAAAACTTGGGGCTGGGGAGAAGGCTCAGTGGTTGAGAGTACTTGGTATTCTTACAACAATATCTGCATCCCAGTCCAAGAACTGAGCATCGGTGGTTCACAACTGCCTATGACTCCAGTTTCAGGCTATCTGGTGTCCTTTCTGCTCTTTGCAGATTCCTGAATACAGGTGCTGGACATACAGATATGCAGGTACACAGATACACATAGCTTAAAATATCACTTAAAAATTAAATCATGTATACCTGCAGGAATTGAGACCATGTTTTACTTATTTTACATCTCATAATGGTAGTCTTTGAATTCCCTATGCTGACTTTCTCATTTCTATAGTATACTCAGAAACAGTGTTTACCTTTAAAATTATCACTTTTTTATAATTAGGTGATAGTTTTTGCAATATTTAATCACAATATCCACTCTGCACACAGTATTGGCTTATAGAAAAACATGGCTGTGAATGAAAGAATAAATACCATGTTTTTATTTTTTCATGAATAGAAATAGGCATAACTAACATTTTCAATGAGTATTCAACAGGAAATTTTAAACAAAAGAATATCAGTTATGTTTCATAAAAAATTCATGACACCAGTATAAAGAAATCATAAATGGGAGTCAATTCAGAAACAGTGGGGAAACATACTTTAAATGCAGTGGGTATTATTGCGAAATGATCCAAATGAATATTGTTTGAGTGCATACTTGTTACAAGTAGAGGGACTAGAATGTAGCTTTGTTCTGTTCCAGACTTAGATGCCTTGTTGGAATTCCATATCCCTGAGATTGTAGGAGGGCTCTGAACAGTCCATTCTTATGAACAATCAACTTTGAGGGTCTGAGTTCAGAGAAAAACATGGCATACTGTCCTTGTTTCATTCATTCACAAAGGGCAATCACTCCTAAAAGTATAAAGTTGTGTTTCCAAAATTTGAGATGAAAAAAAGAGTCTGTATAATGTGTGCCTTATAAGCTTAGCCCCTAATGGATATGTGTTCTGTGGGGACTGGAAATGAGCTAGTTGGGCTAAGAAGCTAATTTAAGTCACCTTGCATTAAAATAACTACATTTGCCTAGTGCCTTCTCTGTTGGACTCAACAGACCGAGATATGTTTATATCATTTCTTTCCTTTGGATGCTAAGCAATATAACTGAGTTCATTTTAGAAATATTCCTTTGAATTTAAGATATAAAAGAATGTGATGAGTCAGTGAGTTCAGCTGATGTCTCTCCTCGAGACCCACCACAGTTGTGATGATGCTAGTGTGTTTCTCCTACCTCTTTTGGACATTTTAATGAGGGGAGTTTTCTGCTGCTACTTCAGATAATGGCAATAAGACAACTACTCTACTTTCATTGCAGCCAATAACTGTAATTTTGAAGATGTACTTAGTAACTGTGAATCCTTGAAGGCTTCAGCGGGCTGCGATCATCAGCTGCTCAAGGAAAAGTGCCAGGCTACTTGCCTGTGTGAAGACAAAATTCATTAACATGTCCAGTGTGCAGCATGAAGGACTACATGAGAAGGGGATTCAGACTTAGCTAAGACATGATGGGGAAACATAGTAGTGACAAGCCGGATCCCAAATGACAAGACTTCTTTTCCTCCTGGATTTATACAGAAATCTTTTCCATGCAGCCATTAAAAAAAGTGTTGTTTAGGATGGCAGCTTTGGATTTTGACCAACTTTGTTGCTTTAAATGTAGCGAATTGAATCAAGTGGAGAATTTTGAAAGTTGTACCAAAGCAGGTTGTTCACCCGTAGAACTCACCTAGAAAAAGAGACTGAGGACGGTTTGTGCCCTGAAACAATTGCAGCAGAAGAGTTACTGGTAGCAACATCACCATCAGTCTACTCCAAGTGTCCACCAGCACGAAGCTTGATGTTTATATTTGTCTTATGTCCTTTTAAATACAAGTAATCATCTTTTTCAATAAAGAACTCAAGCTACTACATGTATATATGATTTTATGTCATACTTTATAGCATGTCTTTTAACTGCTAATAACTAAGCTCAGAAAGGAAATTTTACAGAGAAAAAATCTATTAAATAGATGCATAATGTTAAACTTAAACAGAAAACATATCAATTATGTCTTGATTTTATTTAATGAATATCTAATGTAATCACTATATAGAGGACATAATATAATATAAGCATAGGTATCTGATGAAACAATTAAGATTAATAACTGTCCTAGGGAAGTAGAATTCATACTCTGTGCATTTCATTCAGGATTGTTTGATGACTACATGAAAATCAGCTCACTTGTTCATAAGACTAAGTACACAACATCTCAAATATTGAAAAGGTTACCAGAAGCAGTCAAAAAGTAGGTTTGCTCAAATAGATAGTGACATTCCATGAGCTCCCAATATCCTCAACATGATACAGAAATTGTGGTACATTTACACAATGGAAAACTCAGCAATTAAAAACAAGGAAATCATGAAATTTGCAGGCAAATGATGAGATCTAGAAAAGATTATCCTGAGTGAGGTATCCCAGAAGCAGAATGACACACATGGTATATATTCATAAGTGGATACTAGAACTAAAATATAGGATAAACATACTAAAATCTGTACACCTAAAGAAGCTAAACAAGAAGGAGGTCCCTGGCTAAGATGATCAATCTTCACTTAGAAAGATAAATGGGATGGACATTGGAAGTAGGAGGAAACAAGAAATAGGACAGGAGCCTACCATAGAGATTCTCTGAAAGACTCTACCTGGCAGAGTATCAAAGCAGATGCTGAGACTCATAACCAAACCTTGGACAGAGTGCAGGAAATCATATTAATGAAGGGGAGTTAGTATGACATGGAGAGGACAGGAGCTCCACAAGGACCAAATATATCTGGGCAAAGGGGTCTTTTCTGAGACTGATTCTCCAACCAAAACCATACATGGATATAACCTAGAACCCCTGCTCAGATGTAGCCCATTGCAGCTCAGTATCCAAGAGGTTTCCCTAATAAGAGGAACAAGGACTGTCTCTGACATGAACTCAGTGGCTGGCTCTTTGAACTCTCCTCCATCTCTGAGGGAGGAGAAGCCTTGCTAGGCCACAGAGGAGAACATTGCAGTCCTGATGAGACCTGATAAACTAGGGTCATATGGAAGGGGAGGAGAACCTCCCCTACCAGAGGACTTAGAGAGTGGCAGGGAGGAGATGAGGGAGGGAGGGTAGGGTTGGGAGGGAATGAAGGAACTACAACTGGGATTTAAAGTAAACTAATATAGAAAAATTTTAATTAAAAAATTAAAAAAATTTATTTCGTGTCAAAACTTTGTACTCATAAAATGGGAAACTGTTTTAATTTTCCTCCATGAAAAGTCATGTATTCATCAGCGTTTTCTAGAGAAACTGATAGAATGGATATATCTCTATATATCTACATCTATATCATATATATATATATATATATATATATATATATATATATATATATGTATGTATATTAGTAGGGGGTTTATTAGATTGTTTTATAGGCCAAAATATGATTAAGCCAACAATGGCTGTCTCTTGAAAGAAAGGCTAATAATCTAGTAGTTGTTCAGTCTTCAAGTTGTTCAGTCTGGGTGTCTCAGCTAATCTTCAGTCTACATTGGAATCTAGAAGAAGTAAGTTCCAATATTAGTGAAGGAATGCCTCAGCAGCAGTCATAGATGTACTTGCCGGCAAGAGAGTGAGGACAAGCAGGCAGAAATCAAAAGATTCCTTCTTCCACATCCTTTTATATAGGCTGTTAGCAGGTGTGGTCCAGATTTAGGGTGGCAGATCTTCTGAACTCAAATGATCCAGCTTTATTGTGAGTCTTTTTTACCTCAAATGATCAAGAAAACCCTTCAGAGATGTGCTGCACTGCTTGGTTTTTAGTTGATTCCAGTTGTAGTCAAGTTGACAACCAAGATATGCCATTGCTGATCATATACAGAAATGTATCCAACCTCCTTCCACGACCCAATGGGAGTTGTGTAGACAGGATGAATTGTCTTTTGATTTGCTGAAGACTTCAATACAGCAAACCTAGATGAACATGTTGCATGTGTATGGTGATCTCTGCTAAGTAGGCAGCATCACTACCAGTTGTCTGGGAATCTTTCAAAGCTGCTTCACCTCCCACCTTCTTCTCCCTGCTTGCTTTGCTAGGGGAACTTCATAGTCTGTTTTATCACATCACATGCATACATATGTATATTTTATTTTGAAGGTTTCTTGAGACTGGAATACCCTTGTGTTCTAGGGCAAGAACTCTTGCAAGGTGCTGCCTAGTAATTTCCCTTTCCCAGTTCTAGCAGTTTCTGTCAAATTCAGACAAGTTGAGTCCCTGTGTTCTCTGGTTTCAATCCTGAGTTTAAAAATGTATCTAAGATCAGAAAGAAGAGGAGAACCTCCCCTATCAGTGGACTTGGGGAGTGGCATGTATGCAGAATGGGGAGGGAGGGTGGGATCGGGAGGGGAGGAGGGAGGGGCTTATGGGGGGATACAAAATGAATAAAGTGTAATTAATAAAAAAATTAAAAAAATGTATCTTTCCTACAGTTAAAAATTTCTCTGTTCTTTTTATTAAATGATGGTCAATCTGGCCTATGGCCTTGAGTACTGAGCTATTCTGATTTGTCAGCTTGTGGTCCATGCGGTTTCTGGTCTCATACAGTTATCTGTTTGACTCTTTATCCTTCATTGTGCCTCAAGTGACCTCTGTTTTATTTCACAGTTCTGTGAGACTAGGAAACAGCCTCCACTCCTGACAGCAGCTCCGTGAGGCATATTCTAGTAAATTGGTTTACCTCTGCTTATGATGATGACATTTTTAAATTTGACATTTTTAAATTCTTTGACATTTTTAAATTCTGTAGGGGAACACATTCCTTTCTAGATAAAACTAATTGATAAAGAACTTTGGGGATGCATTTTTCCTCTTTTAGTATGCTTATAAAGGCCTGTGTCTATGCTATTATATTAAAAACAAAAACAAAGAAAAAAAAAACGGAAATGGAAAAGGGATCCAGAAAGCAGGACAGAGTTGATGGTTACAATATAGTGTTGCTAAGGTGGCTAAAGGAAAAGAAAAATCTTTAAGTGAAAAATATTAGATTATAAATCAGACTGCCTTAAAATTGAATATTCCAAAAAAGATGCAAATACAACTAAAATGTTAAACTAGGTTATAAATGGTTATGAGAGTTAAAACAAAAAGTTGAAATATGGGTATAGCTATTCAGCCGTGATTACAGGATTTTTAAATTCTGCAGATCAAAATTCAACAAATTGATATACACCTAAAATCTAGTCCTGTGGAAGTCAACTAGCTTCTCTTTAGATTGTGATCTGCTTTGGGTAATATAGTAAAATGTACAAGTTAGGCAGCTCAACAGTAGGCTCAGATGGTAAGAGCACTTACTGATATTTCAGAGGATTAAAGTTCACAACCTAGCACCTGTCAGGGGGTGCTTCCACATTACGTTTTAAAAGAACTAACCCATGTTTAATTAGCATACAGTTTTCAAAATGCCTTCAACAATACCTCTTTTTCTATCTCTTGGTCCCCAGGAACTATACCAAGACAAATCTCCCACCTTGTTCCCTGTGTAAATACAAACATATATGTTGGTGCTGGCCTGCCCTTCCGATTGGGTGGGAAGGTGTCCAGGAAATCCACAACTACAAGGCTGAAAATCTGTGGGCTGGGAAGGTATCCCAGCTCTGAGGTGGGACAGTGTCCCAAGGGTGTCCTGAGGCATTGGATCCCACGAACCACACAGCTCTGGATGGGACAGTATTCCAAGGGTATCTTGAGGCATGAAAGCCCAGGAACCACATAGCTCTGAGAGGAGGTCCACTCAATAGAGACATCACAGCTCCCAGCAGAGGGTTGTCCCAACCTGTGATGAGCTGAGAGGAGCTTTAGAGTCTGAGCTCCACTCCTTCTTTGTTTCTTCTTCTCTCCTTCTTCTTCTGATGAGTGGGTCACAGCAGGGAGTAAATCCATTATATGAAATAACAAAAATATAGACTTTGTTGTGTCCCTCAGTTGTCTCACAGAGGTTTAATGCGAGACAATATTGTTGAAGACACTTCACGCTTAGGACACAAGACTTGGTTTAATTTAGATCAAATCTGAAAGCGTCCTTCCTGCAGTCTAGCTTCTACTGTACCAGAAATTACTGTATAAGCTTCTAGGGGAGATTCAGCAACCAATACTGCTACACTGATACAACACTCTATAAACCACAAACAATTATCATAAGGGGAAAACGTTCATAAAGGTCCAATAATTCGCCTTGACATATTGGTGGTGAGCAACAGTTGTTTAATTGGACTTAAGGTCCTGTAAACAGGAGGCAAATCATACCTGGTAATAGTAATTTAGACTAATTTTGGGGGCTATTGAGGTTGTAGACCTTAGAAAAGAATGTATTACTTCTACTTACACCATTCCTTACTGTATTCTAAATCTTATCATTATAACCACAACTAAGTTTTACAGCAAATGGAGACCATCACAGGTCACCACAACTGGATTCAATATAGGCATCAAGATATAGCGGAGGGGTGTTAACCCCAACACATACATCTACATCACAGATCCTGCATATACAACTCAGGGAACACCACAAAAGAGGGGAGCAGAAAGATTTTAAGAGCAAGAATATCAGAAAGTTTCTTGTGTACTCAAGTTTAGGGTAGAATGCTTTAATTCCTTTTAGATACCAAAGGCCAACTGTAGTTTTCATAAAGAAAACTAATATAATCTTTCAGTTATTTTTATGTTTTACTCATTTGTCATTCTGTGATAAGAGCATGTATCTTATTGTAACCCCTGAAGCCAGCTTTCAGTTCATACAGAATGGCTT